AAATTTGTCATTGAAAATTTTTAATAATGTATTTTTATGAATTTCTAACATATCTCTAATTTGTACAACAGTGTATTTTGCCATATTTTTTTTTCCTTTTTTTTTTTTAAAGAGCTTTTAAAAACGCGTCCGTTCTCTTCAATAGATTAGCTTCAAAAAAGGGTTACTCCACATATCAAAACCTAATTCGATCAAAAATATTCGCTTGGTATATCAACTGCTCAACTAAATGGATGAATAATAAACTTAAAATTACCTGCTTTTTAATCTTTCCGTAAAAGCTGAAATATTCAAAGCAAAAAGAGCACATAAAAAAGAAATAATACTAACCTGAATGAACTTATAATAACAACTTGGGTTTTTCTACTTCAGACATGATTAACTTACCCATGACCTACTTAAATTACATTTAAGTGAGCCATGTAGGCCATAAATTAAAAAACATTTAAATTAATTTAAGGTTGGCCATGACTTACCAATCTAAACCTCTATAAATATATCTTCCATTTACAAAAATCTTTCATAAATTTTTTAATTCTGGATTACTACTGTCTCTAAAAATTAGCAAACTTTAGTTCGGTCTATAGAAAAACGAAAGATAAATTACTTGCTGAAAACTCTCAACCTATTTTACCAAACTTTGTTGCCTGAAAAATATTCAAAATACTTGTTAATAACAAAACTTTGAAGCGCATTAACGATAATAAAATGCTTTCTGCAAATCAACATAGTTTTCTTCACCATAAATTATGTGTGACTAATCTAATTGAGACTTTTGATATAATTTCATTTTCTATAGTATTTCAACAATTTATTGATGTTATCTCAATTTTGTCAAAACAGACATAACAAACTTAACTCAAAACAGACTTAAATTTTAAAGATCGTTATACTCATGCCAGACCTCTTTTATTAGAAATGAATGTTCTTAACATATACCAGCAAAATGTTTTTAGTGTTCTTTTATTTATGTACAAGTGTAAGATAAACCAAACCCCTATAACCTTTATAGGTTACAAAATTTATATGCAATAAAGCAAGTATGACTTAAGAAATTACAATCTTATTCATTAACATTATTCTCATACAAGTTTTGGGAGATCTGTTTTAACATATTGCGGAGCTCTTCTGTGGAACAAAATAGTTTTGAAAAATTTTGATTTTACTCAAAGTTGGAGTTTTCTTACTTTTAAATTTAAGCTGAAAAAAGTTATCTTTTTAATTGGTAATATCTTTGAGTTCTTATGAGTTTATACCTTTTAAAAAGGTTTATAATTCCTGAATATATTGTTTTATATACTCTTTATGTTGTTAAATGTTATTTTATGTTATGAAATATCTGATTAAATTTAAATTTCATTTCTAAACGTCAATTAGTGTAATCATTTAACTGGTTATATTTTTACTACATTGTTCTCAGTGACAGGATCTTAGGATCCTCTTCGAGTCTCCGTGTTCTGATATTTAATGTACCACGATATTTATACCATAATATATTGTAACAAAAACAAAATTTAAATACTTTAAATTTTGTTTTTGTTACAATATATTATGGTATTATAGGTTTGACTTTGTAAAAACTTTACAAAGTCAAACCTATACTTTCCTAGGAGAATCTAAAAATCCTCTATTTTTCTTAAATACAAAATGCAAACACATGCTAATATTGCCTGGGGAAGTGATAATAAATCTAAATTAAGTTCTCTAAATATACACCAAAAACAGGCATCAAGATTGATTTATAATAAAAAATAAATTCACTCATGCCGATCCTTTATTTAAAAACTTGAATACTTTAAATATCTATCCAATTAACATCTACCATAATATTTTATTTATGCTCAAATATAAGCTCTGATTGGTCCCAACTCATTTTACTTATAACCTTTTTCAAATCAACGCCAACAGATATATCACAAGAGGAACCAGAAACTTTACGTTGCCCATAAAAAAAAACAAATTTTTTCGAGATTTTTAATTGTATACCGTGCCCCCTATTTATATAACAAAATAATACCTTAAAATATAGAACTTACTTAATTGGATAATCTTATTGTTCTGAAGAAAAAACTAAAAGATCTTATAATTAACGAAACCGATTTTATCGATGTGTATTAAATCTAAAGGAACAATTATAATAAAATATAAAAAGAACAATTTCAGCTATAAAAATAAATAAAAAAATAAAAAATAAATAAAAACATATTAAAAAAAAAAAAAAAAATTCATGTAGTTAAGCATTTTTAAAATATTATAGTGTCTGTATGATATTTTGTTAATTATGACATAATTCCGTGAAATAGACTGGTCTGTGAATTATAAAAAGACGAAAAAAATTAAAATAATAAATTTTGTGGTATCATAAAATATAAATGTTTGTAGCGAAAAAACCCAGACCGTGGAATCTTTTTTTTTTTTTTAAATCATCTTAAAATCACAATCGCTCGTCCAAATTTAAATAAGATTTTATATTAATACGTTTTTTAGGTGAAAAGTAGTTTAACAATATGATCTGTTCTGATTGTTTATTGGCAATTATTTATAATTATAAGCTCTTTCTTGGTCGGAATTCAAGTATTTTTTGTGCAAATTGATAGAAATATTGCGTTTTGACAACTATATATAGTTAATATACGTAAGAACCGATTAGAACTAGGATCAGTAGTAAATTAAGTAACTTTTTAAAAAGATTTTAACTAAATTCATGTTAATGTCGATGAGCGAATTCGATCTAAAGACTCCAAAATAGTGTTCTTTAGATACATTATTACGGGTTCTAAAAAGATTTTAAAAATTATATATAAAAAAGAAAAGTTTCTTCAAATATTATAAAAACCTTAAGCAAAAAAAATTACATTTAAAGATCTTGTTTGGGCATAATATGCTGACAAAAACCATGCTAATTCCAAATAAAAGTATTCAAATATTTTGTAAATCGCCTTAACTACACCGAGTAGCAACTATACATAGTAAAATATTACTGAACAAAAGACCTCAAAAAAGTTAATGTGTATTTTATAGATTTTTAGTTTCCTCTTTAAATTTTTAGTTTATTTTGTATTTTAAAAGTTCTCGATGAAAAGACTTTTCTTAGTCTTGTGCAAGTTTCCTTACAACTACATAGTACTATTAATATATATTTTCAACGACAACGACAAGAAAGTCCCTAGTAGCCCTGTGGTGCGACGGACTTGCGTATATTTTCTAAATGCATGGGTTAATAGCCAGCACTTTATACTATAAACCACGAATTTTTGTGTTTATTATTTTAACACGATGTCAAACGCGCGTGCATAAAACAGCATTGTTAACGTTCTTTAAATATTGTAATGTTTATGGTGGACATTTATATAAACTGGAGACATGTAAATGTTATTCGTTTTTGAAATATATAACAATAATTGATTTAAAAAAAAAAGGTATAATAAATTAATCCATAAAAGGTTCTACTAAAGTGCGTAATTTAGAAGTCATGTAACGCTATGTAATTATTTCATGTAAGGCTAAGTGGAGCGCACATTTTTAAGCAGTTGTCTCAAAGTCCGTACAAATTCTTGGTATGCAAAAAGGCATTCACTTTCATTGATGAATATATGGCTTTTAAGTTATATAAAGTGTTTATTAGACCACACCATAAATATACAATGTCTATTTGGGCTTCTTAATTAAAAACTGAGAAAACCTTGGTTGAATCTATTCAACGCAAAGCAACAAAATTGACTTCCACCTTAAGACATCTGTAATACTGCGAAAGACAAAAAAGATTGGGTTTTATTTACTTAGAAAAATGGGTTTTATTTCATTCGATTATAAAAAAGCAGTTTCTCCCATCAAAATTACCTCAAATCTTTATCGATAACAAGAAAATAAAAAGAGATTTTGTTACAAACCTTTTAGGTGTTTATCTTGATGAAAACATTACTTGGAATCACTATATTAATGGGGATCCTATACAAAATAACTATAAACATGGGGATCCTATATAAATCACAAATCTATCTCAATACGAAAGTCTTAATTCAACTTTACTACTCATTTATACATTACAGAAAAAAGTAAGTTGCAACGCCTTTATTTCCTCAGAAACGTGCAATTCGTATAATCAATTTTGCAAATCGTTTCTCCTATTCGAACTATTATTTTACTGAAATGAGAGTTCTGTATATATACGAGTTAAATGTATTTGATATTTTACGTTTTTTATATATGTGGATAAATAACTTATTCCTAGCTGTCTTCAAAGATCTTTTCTTTTTAAAACCAATCAGTAAATATATTTTGAGAAATAATAACTTTTTAAATGAACCATTTTGTCAAACAAACTTTAATCAATTTTGTATGAATTTTTGAGCGCCACACCTATGGAATAAAAATGTTTTGCCGAATTTTAATTTTGAAGTACCTATTACTTTTTGCCTTTTTAAAAAAAAACTGAAAAACCTCATTTTTTCATTAGATAATATATTGATTATTATTACCCAAGTAGCAAACAATATTGGCGCAATATTGTTTACATTATTGGCGCAATATTATAAACTATATCGGGCCAATATTGCAATGTGAACATTTTGCCAATATTGGCCAATATTGGCGCTACAATATTGCGCCAATATTGTAAAGTCAATATTGGCAAAATGTTCACATCGCAATATTGGCGCGATAATGCTTAAAATATTGCGCCAATATTGTAAATAATATTGCGCTAATAATAGGGATATAATACTGTCCAATATTGACGTAATATAGTTTAAAATATTATCCTGATATATATAATATATATAACTATATTAGGGCAATATATTGAGTATTTTCGATTAAGTTTTTATTATTAAAAAATAATAAAAAATATTGCCTTCTACAAATTTTTAATCATTAAAATTTATAACAGTTTTCTTGTTAAAATGATACTATAGTGCTAGGCTGCATTATTCTTTTGAGTTAAACAGGTTAGTCTAGGAGATGACAATGATCATAGAACACGCTTTAAGATAAAAAAAAAATGGAAATCATTAAATTTATTTGAAGTTATATGAAACAGATACAAGTGAAAAAAAGAGGCATAGAGTTTTCCAAAACCAAAATATAACAAAAAAAAATTAATTCTATTTAAATACAGGTACAAAAAATATGTATACATTTATAAAGTACTGTATTAAACTCTCACTACCAGATAGTGGGCATCGAATTTCATTATTTTGGCGATACTTATTTGATTGCTCAATATTAGGTGTTGCTCAGTTACGGTTCTATTTTTCTTCCGTATCTCTGTTAATGGCCGTCGCCAGAAAGCTACCAATTTTTTTTATAATACTTTTGTCAGTAGCGATTTCGAAATGAACGAATAGAACGATAAATGACTAAACGCAACTCTACAAAATAATTTTTCAATATCATCACAATATAATTTTGAAGTATATAATTTTTTACGTATTGTAAAATAATTAGCTTTTATTAAAATATTTATTTATTTAAAAGGAAATGGGATGTAGGATACAAATATTGTGCTTTACCTATAACAACCTCGCAGGACGTTTTTGTTTTCTTCCATACATTGAGTATGAAAAACATACTTCTTTGGCCATTAGCTGTATTAAGATTGCCTCTGTAAATTGTTTCTCATCTCCTCCAACTGAAGTAAGAAAGTTCATTTAAAATAAAAGAAACAAATGTAATATAATTGGTTGTACTAAAAGTTTAATGGTTTCTCTTATGTGTATGTATTAGACGGTTTTCCCAAAATGTGATTCTTATTAAAATATGATATTATGGTAGAGTAAAAGCGATTGGTTATAAATAGATTAGGTCAAATTTTTTTGCAGATCAGGAATAATTTATTTTTTGTAAAACTTTTATAATGTAACACACTAGGAAGAATACAGAATTTCATACAGGTTTGTGAGCTTCTCCTTACCCTTAACCAAAATAATAGAGTAGTATAAAATTCTCCAAGATTGGTTGTATTTGCCACAGCAAAAAGCTGTGGTGAATACAACGTAAAGATATCTGAGATGTCTGAGATTAGTAGTCATTGCTACACAAAATACATTGCTAAATACATTGCTACACAAAATACATTGCTAAATACAATGCTACACAAAATACATTGCTAAATGGGCATAAAAGATAAAAATCACAACAAAATATAACAGACATTTATATAAAACATTCTTATATACATCATAGTTATAATCAATCATGTATCACATTGTATCATTTGTTTGTATGTTTCATATGAATGTATCATATTTTTTTTCAAATAGAAACTTTAATAGTATATAGAACTGTTTCCAAAACTATTAACTAATATTAATTTACTGATACATAATCACTGATTCATGATGTGCCTTAGTTCCATAATTTTTCTTAGAGGTTAAGATGATCTTTTTTCCTCTTTAACCAACAAATAACTTTATCAAAAAAACTCCATCAACTCAATAAATTGAAAGAGATGGTCAAGCAAAGCTCTGATGGAAACACTTAACCCTAAAAAACAAAAGATTTCTTTTATCTTTGAGAAACTCATGTACAATCTCATCAGTGTCACTTTTTTTGTAACCTTCAACTTTTTAAGCTGGAGGCATAGATAAATTTTTTTTTATTAAGATAAAATTTATCTATCACTATCAACAGCTGTTTTAACGCTTGATGTAAACTCAAACATTTCCATTTTAAAGCAGTTTCTTAACTGCCGAAAAAACTGCCATACTAAACAATGAACAGTATTTGAGTCAAATATAGCTGTCTAGATCATTAGCATCTTGCACGTGTGTAACTTAAAATTAAACAAGTAAAAACAATATTGTAAATAAGCAATTACCATTTATTATCAGCTGCTTCTAGTTACTTTTAGAAGCGTGGCTTCACGTATGGCAGCCAAAAAATAAGATGCTTTCAAGTGATTTGGCCAATACATGCGGTAGTGGTGTAGTGGTAGAGCGCTCGCTTCATAAACGAGTGGTTCCGAGTTTGATCCCCACCACGTCCCTGGTAGTACCGCGCTCAACTCGTTTCTCTGCGCAGCGGCCTTGTTCGTCAAGGTTCGTGTTTCGGAGTTATAGAGTTGAGAGAGGGTTATAGCCACAAAATAATGTTTTTCTGTTAAAAAATTCAACCAGAGCAAATTTTCTAAACTTTATTTCCATCTTCAGTTTAACAGTACAACAGCTAAAAAAATTTACAACAAATAATTATATAATATAAAAAACTTCAGATGAACTTTTTTTTCAGATAATAAATTTTTTTTTAACTGAAATATTAGTCTAAAATTTATCAAGTCTTATTTCTTAATGTAAATTGTAATCGCTTCGTATTTCAAGTAGAGTTCGATAATTGGTTAGTTAAAGAAAGAAAATTTTAAAGTTTGTGTGGTTTGGAAAGGTTTCCATAATAACATTTTCTTATTTAAATATGACATAAAGGAAGAGTTAAAAATATTTGTTACAATTTAACTTTTATTAGTGTTTTCAACCTCTAATAGGTTGTCTTTTTATAATAGAGTTTAATTTTATTTATTGTAGAAATAAAATGGTGCATTTACTACGGCTAAAGAGCCATAGTAAATGCCCCTGAAAACAACCAACTTAAAGCTCTAAGCAAATTTTTACCCCGAGATTACGAGATTCAAATGAGCATGAGATTAAGATCTTTGCTCAATTAAATGAGTTAACCAGACATTTGGAAATATGGAAATAAATATACTAAAATAAAGTGTTTTAACATTTAAAATAAACATAAAAATTAATCGGTGTTTAATTAATTTGAAATTTAATTTCATATTAGTTTTATTTCTACAATAAATAAAATTATACTCTATAATAAAGAAAAGAATTCATTTACTGGTATACTGCAGTTAACATACAGTGAATTGTATAACTTTACTATTTAAGATTTAAAAAAACGATAAACAGCATTTGTTATTTAAGTATTAGGGTTGGTTTCATTAAAATATGATATGTCAACAAACTTGACATTGGAGGATTTTAAAGTATCTTTAGGCAAATAACTATTATAAGAGTTTTTATATAATATATTGTTGTTATTATCGTTGTTATTATTATTTTCTAAGGTTATAATTTTAAAAATAGAATAATTAGACATATAAAATAAGCTTATCAACCTTTTGTTCTATTGTATCTATTTGTGTAGGTCTAATTGTTTATATGCAATTGTACATTTGATATACCCAATATGCATCTAGATATTTTTTAAACATTGTGACAGATGCTGAACACACTATTTCTGATATTAGACTATTTTACAAACTTGTGAATTGCATACTAAAAAAGATTTTCTGGACATCTGTCTTACAAAACCTTTTTTTTCAATTTATAAGCATAACCGCAGGTTGTTAAGTTAGGGTTAGTCATAATGGAGGATACTAGCAAAATATATAATCTATATTTTATTATTAAGAAGCAGCCATATTGACACACGTGCTATTACAACTCAGTATTACTACTTAATGGTCTGTAATTACAATAATAAATATAACAGCCATGCAGATGACATCACTCTAACATAGGTGTTGATAGATAAATTACTGAATGGTATTTAATGAGGAAACAAAAGGATTGCAACTACAATTATAAAGATTGTGAATGCGTTTGTAAGTTTCTGCGATGTCATTATGTAAGAAACGATAGCTCATGCTAGTTAAATTTAGGCTCAGTAGTCTTTGGTTGTAAGTGAGTCCAGTCTAGCCAAAAACAAATTTACTAGACTTGCATAGAACATTTTAAATTAATTGTTGATCTTTTTAAAGCCTAGGATAGTAGACAGAGCTGCAAGAATCAAGGTGAGGGTGAACAAGGAAAATAAACAAAGTACAAAATGTCAAGATATTGAGATTAACAAATGATCTTTTGATCATTCCTACAATTTTATTGGCGGTGTTATTCTTTGTACTTACAAAATAAAAGTCAAATTATTGTCAATGAAGATCCCTTTATTGACAAAAGAATTTTTAAGATTGAAGTATTGAGATTTTTATTGATGAGTATATAAATGAATTTTGTGTTTGTTGGACCTAAGGGTATAACTTTACATTTTTTTACATTAAAACTTAGTTTTCATAGTTTTGCCCAGTTTGCTATAATATCCATACTTTTTTTGCAGGTCATTGCATGGTAAGCTATCAAAAAGCAAACTGTATAACTTTATATCATCTGTAAATACAGATACAACATCTAAAACCAAATCAGAAAAATCATTAATATATATCATAAAAGTAAATAATGGGGGACCCCACTATTTACTATTATCCATTCTGAGTATGTACCACCAACAATGATACTCTAATGTCGATCTCTTAGGTAACATACAAATCCAATTGTAGAGTTTGCTATCTATTTTATAAGCTATTAATTTTAGAAGTAGGAGATAGTTGTGAAATGTGTCGAAAGCTTTTGATATATCTAGATATAAATTTTCTATATCAGTTTTATTCTCCTAATGTCCAATGGTCAATCTTCACTAAAGATTATTGCATTTTCAAAGTGGCATTTATATAAATTTTACTATTTTCAGCATTATTGTGTGAATTTTACTTTAATCTTGTTTAACTAATCTTAATATAATGTGATGTAGCAGATCTAGTTTAACTTATTGATTTGTTTGCTACCTATAACATTGCATTAAACTATTGCATAAAATAAAATGCTATATAAAATAAAAGACATTATAAAACTTATTATTTTTTATTGCAAAATACTATCTAGTAATAAATTTATGTGTACTGTAGTAGATTATTCCCACCGACTGAATTATTCCATCCCCCTATGAAAAACTCAAAACGAGATTGCGCTTTTGGGTTATAACTGTTAGAAGTGTACCTAAATTGTCCGTACTACCTTTGTAAACATAATCAAGGAAAAAAAAACGTTAAGAGGACAAAAATTTTAGAAATAAAGTTTAAATAAAAGTTGTATGAGAAAGACGATATAAAAAAGTGTCGTAATGATAGAAAATAAACAACTATAAACTAATTAATTATTTATTTTTATGAAATTAATTTACAAATACTTTTATTATATAACAGTATATGTAAAAGTAAAATTCAGACAGATATAAATTATATCTCTCTGAATTAATACCTCCTTTTATAAATCGCTCAATGTAACGCAGTCTGATCTTTGTTACAGTATAATAATTGAAATTCTACAACTATACAATATTTAATAATTAGTTGATAGTTGTATAATTTCTGTTTAAACTAACTGAATAAATTAGTTATATAATTATGTAAAAATAATTTACAAATATCTGTCTGAATTATAACCTCCCCCAAGTAAATTACTGAACTTGCCTCTGAATTATCTCCTTTTTGCTAGCTAATCATTTAATAAAAGATGCTGTGGTAATGGTAATGAATGATGTAATAAGTAGTGAACAACTATAAACTTTTAGCTATATATTTAATTGAAAATAATTAACAAATACATCTTTAATTTTCAAAATTATTACTTCCCCTTAGTAAACCGTTTAAAGTAAGATGGTGTGATAATGGCATAAAGTGATAGTAATAGGAATTATGCAACTATATATCAATAAGTTTTAAAATTACATAAAAATGATTTACAAGTATAATATCTAAATCATCACATCGCCTTTAAGTAAATCAGGCAATACAAAATGTTTGAAACTGGTATTGAATGATATAAATTATTATTATATTTTACTGTAATTGGAAATTTCTAAATATTTTGATATTTAACTTGTAGCACTTTTGTTTTACTATAGAAACATAGAATAAAAGTGTTATTCTTACTTTAATTAGTAAAGTTATTAGTCCAACATATCAATATTACTTAAGCCTGATCTAAAGATATTGTAATGTTATATTGGTATTTAATTTTTTTCCAAACTTACGCATAGCAATTTTCTGTTATGTATATATGTTTTTAAGTTCTATGTTATTTCTTATGTTCTACAAAAAGTAGTATTGATTTTTTTATATTTTCATTAAAAAAGTTATTTGTTTTGTGCAAATTAAAAAGTATTTCTTTACTAAATTAATTTTTTTCTTCTCTTTTTTAGTTCGACCACAAGGTTCTGCTCTACTTCTTTTTTTATGTTGAATTTGATTACTGTTGAAATATGGTTTTAATTTAGTAAATTTTTATAAATTAAAATTTACTTTATTAATTATTAGCCAACAGTTTAGGTAATAAAATTGAATTCATCGCCATTAAGGTAAGATTAACTTTGCTCTTTGGTCACATTGTTAAACAGTTTTTTTAATTCTATTTTTTTATTGGTATTTTTACTAAAACAGATTTTTATAATTATTATGTAATTGCTATTTTGCGTAACTAAACCTAAAAATACTTCAGCTAACATAACTCTGAAAAAATAATAGTTTTTTTTTTTTTTTAATTACATTTTTGTTTCTTTTTATAAAAATTTCAAGAGAAGCTTGAACAAAAAATAATTATTGGTAGAAATTCTTTTATCACAGATTTTATATTTATATAATAAAAAGATGAAATAAAGATTTTTTTCTGAGGATTGTAGCAATCTTTTTGAAATTCATACTTGTAAAGCAAATCAAAAATTATAAAAAAAAAATGCTGAATCAAATTAAATAAATTTGACACTTTCTTAAATTAAAAAAAAGTTTTTATTTTTATTGAAAGTAGTTAATGTCTACTGCAAAAAGTAATTAAAAAAAAATTATTTTTATTGGAGTCACAAGATTTAGCATAAGGTAAATACCATACTCTGTTATAGATTTATAATTTTTTCAAAAGTGAGAATGTTTACCATGGGTTAGGAGTAATGGTAAGAGTCCAAGGCCAAAGTATTGGATAGCCATTGTTGGTGTTCCATATTTGCTATAAGTTGTTTTGAAAGACTTGACTAAATTGTTTTTATTTTTCAGAGCTCTTTATATATTATATGGATTGAATGCAACTTTTACCCCCCAAAAAACTTTTTTTTTATAGATTTTTAAACTGTAGCTGTTTGCACACTTTCTATATAATGTTTTAAGTGTTAAATATTTCTGACCATAATCTTTTTTCGAATATTACACAATTTTTACAACTGAGTTAGAGGCAACTTTTCCACCAAAGTGCTAAAACTGTATTATGCACTTTTGCTATTTTTTCTTTTTTTTGTGTAGCAATATTTTTTTTTTTTTTTTTTTTGTGTTTTTATTTTATTAAATAAAAAGTGTTTTGTTAAATAAAAAGTGTTTAATTAAATAAAAATCTGTCCTTGTATGGAATACTGTTGCTCTATCTGGGGGAAAGGAGGGGTGGATCCTAAAATGATGCTCTTTCTCTTTTAGACAAGGTACAAAATTGCAATGTAAACATAGTTGGACCTGATCTTGCAAACGTCCAACCATTATCACATGTTGCTTCTCTTTCTCTTTTCTACAAATACTTATGTTACTCCTCATTTGATTAAGTCTTATCCTTTTTTTGTGACTGTTCCAAAGTGCTCTAAAAACTCTTATTCATTTTTTTCTTTGAACATAAGTTCTTTGAAATTTGCCTGCTACAGTTTTTATTTTGATTCATATAATCTCTCATTTTTAAAGTCATATGTCGATCGCTATCTTGTTTTATAAACTTCATCTTATTCCAGTAACTTCCAACTCAAATAGCGGTTGATTGCAGCCTTGTTGGAAGCAAAGAAGCAAAGCAAAAAAAAATGTCCTTTTTATTTAACCGAACTTTTTTTGGCAACAGATGTTATTAAACAGGTAACCAGCAATTACCTAATTTAAAACCTGTTTAAAAATAAGTAATTTACATTAATTTAGTTTTTTTTTTGTGTGTATTTTTCACCTTTTAAATGCTATGAAGGCTGCTACAGTTAAGGAGGCAACTTTTAGTTCCAGTTAAAATCTGATCTCAATAACACCTAAAAACAAACTTCAACAAACAAGGCCTCTGCGTCAAGAAACAAACTGAATGTACTACCATGGACTTATGAAGCTAACGCTTTACCACTACACCAATACTGAAACTTAATAAACTATTAATAAGTTTCTTTATGAATCTTAGTATTAGTATAATACCTCTTTTACTTTAAGTATTACATAAACTTATGTTGCCAGGAAAAATACAATATATTTACACAAAATAAAAATGACATGATAATAATAAAATATATAAAATTGTTTAATGGTGTCACCAAAGAACAAAGTTATTTTTACCTTAATGGCGATGAATTCAATTTTATTACCTAAACTGTTGGCTAATAATTAATAAAGTAAATTTCAATTTACAAAAATTTACTAAATTAAAACCATATTTCAACACTAATCAAATTCAACATAAAAAAGAAGTAGAGCAGAACCTTGTGGTTGAACTAAAAAAATGAAATTTCCAATAACAGTAAAATATAATAATAATTTATATCATTCAATACCAGTTTCAAACATTTTGTATTGCACGATTTACTTAAAGGGGATGTGATGATTCAGAAAATTCTTGTAAATCATTTATATGTAATTTTAAAACTTATTGATATATAGTTGCATAATTATTATTACTATCACTTTATGCCATTATCACACCATCTTACTTTAAACGGTTTACTAAGGGGAGGTAATAATTTTGAAAATTAAAGATGTATTTGTTAATTATTTTCAATTAAATATATAGCTAAAAGTTTATAGTTGTTCACTACTTATTACATCATTCCTTACCATTACCACAACATCTTTTATTAAATGATTAGCTAGCAAAAAGGACATAATTCAGAGGCAAGTTCAGTAATTTACTTGGGGGAGGTTATAATTCAGACAGATATTTGTAAATTATTTTTACATAATTATATAACTAATTTATTCAGTTAGTTTAAACAGAAATTATTAAACTATCAACTAATTATTAAATATTGTATAGTTGTAGAATTTCAATTATTATACTGTAACAAAGATCAGACTGCGTTACATTGAGCGATTTATAAAAGGGAGGTAGTAATTCAGAGAGATATAATTTATATCTGTCTGAATTTTACTTTTACATATACTGTTATATAATAAAAGTATTTGTAAATTAATTTCATGAAAATAAATAACTAATTAGTTTATAGTTGTTTATTTTCTATCATTACAACACTTTTTTATATCGTCTTTCTCATTTAACTTTTATTTAAACTTTATTTCTAAGATTCTTGTCCTCCTAACGTTTTTTTTTCCTTGTTTATGTTTACAAAGGTAGTAAAGGTAGTAAAGGTAGTAAGGACGATTTAGGTACACTTCTAACAGCTATAACCCAAAAGCGCAATCTTGTTTTGAGTTTTTCATAGGGGGATGGAATAATTCAGGCAGTGGGAATAACCTACTACAGTGCGGGTGCGTGTGTGCGTATGTGTGTCTGTGTGTGAAGGTCAATAATGTATATATATATATATATATATATATATATATATATATATATATATATATATATATATATAAATTTATATAAATATATATATATATATATATATATATATATATAATATATATATATAAATATATATATATATATATATATATATATATATATATATATATATATATATATATATATATATATATATATATATATATATATATATATATATATATATATATATATATATATATATATATATATATATATATATATATATATATTATTGATGTTATTAGGTGTCAAGCAGGGGTACCTTTTTCGTAAATTAAAATCCTATAACAGTTAGAAACAATAATTATGACGTATTTATTTCTTAAATGAATATCTTTAACAAAATAAATTGACTATAAAACTTATATTTTATAGATGAAATCTTCTCAAAGTGTTTTCATTTAAGAGTAAACTTACTAAATCAATTTTGATACTTAAGTATAGCAATATTTTTCTTATTCTTCTTGTGATGCAATATGTTTTAAATTAATTATAACCACTTTTTCTCGTAATTCAATCCGTAAATGTTGAATATAACGTAAACATGTAGATAACATGTTTATCTACATGTTTACGTTATAGAAGTTTATTCCTCATCTCATCTGATAATATTAACACACTAATTTAATAGTAGTAGTTAATAGTCGACTTACGTCATTTTCTAGGCTTTTCAATTTTAAAGTAGTTTCTCGGCTTTTCTATACGCGGTTTTTTTTAATTTAATTTACTAACAACCCGTATTACGGGTTGCTTACTGCTAGTTTTATTTATTGTTCTTATACTTTTTACTTTTAAATTTATATGTTGGTTTACTCTAGTATAAAATTCCGATGAAAAGATTCTCTTGACATTCAATTTTGTAAAAGATTATTATTATTTTTTTAACATTATCTTTGTTAAATGCTTATTTAAGGTTCAGACGACCAGATCTTTGCGATCTTCGTTCAGATACCTTGTTTAATTTGTTATATTTTCTATCATTGTGAGTTTATATTATTATTTTTATTATTGGTTATTTAAAGTTGTACAACGATTAACAAAAGTAAACCAAAAAAAAAAAAAAGAAAAAAAAGATTGAAACCATTATTGGCAATTACTTTGACGTTACTATAATAATTAAAAAAAAAAGTTTGAAAATTTTTATAAAAGTTTAGATAAAAAGTTAGAAATATAGATTTATAACAAAAAAATGAAAAGGATAATATGAATTATATACAAATAAAAAAATCTAGAAACTCATTTATTGTTTAAGTTTAACTCTTCAAAATAACCGACGTGTAAAAATACCCGCCTCATCAAAAAAACTGTCTAGTAAAAATACCCGGCTCATCAAAATAACCGATTTGTAAAAACACCCGCCTTAGTCACATATCAGTCTTTTTTAGCAAAACCAGGGATGCGCCTTACAAGAGACCATAGCTTTATATAAAAAGCCTAAAATGACAAAAATTTGTTTCTGAAGAACCTATAATCAGACTCAACTTACGGTTCACCAAAATTAAAATTTTTTATTACTTTTATAGGATTAGTTTGTAATAATACAGTTTAAAAAAGTTTAATTGTGCGTTTAAAAAAGTTTTAAAATCAAATTATTTTTGGATTAAAAAAAAAAATCCGTTAGCTAACTAGTGGAGCTTCACTTGCAAGGAAAATTGTTCGCACCTCAAAACCAAACAAATAAATAACGTAGAGCAAGTATTATTAAGGTAAAACTTTTTTAAGAATACATAAATTTATTTTTTTTTATGATGAAAACAGATTTTTGTTAAGTTTGAAAATTATTTGAAATGAAACAGTAAGTTTTATTTTGGAAGTTTTTTGTTACCCTGTTTTTCTATATTTATTATTTTTTTGGTTACCATTTTTTATTTTGATTACTAAGTGTTTTTTTTTAATTTGATCTTTTATACAGTTGCTTTCTTCCTCTGTAAAATTTTTATAATGTAAAACTATGTTTTTGACAAAATAGCTTTTTTATTATATTTCTAAAAGGTTACAAATTAAGACTTGAAAATAAATTTAAAATTGAATATAAAACACTGTTTCTATCACTATGCAAAATGCTCTAAAAGTACTTGTCCTATTTAACCAAAATTTTCAACATATCATTAAAAAATTATTTTGATGATAATTTCATCTAATTTCAATCATTATGCTGCACTATATTTCAATCATCATGCTGCACTATATTTTCAACCGTTAGTTATTTAATCGACCACTATTCGGTTTAACAAAATTTCAAATTTTTTTGAATAATTTTATTTCAAACATATTTTAATCATCTGTAAAATTTCATTGTCTAAAATTTTCATTGTAAAAGATTTTGTAGACAATTGAAAAAAAATTTGCTACTTTTCGGATTATTGTGTACCTTAACAAAAGAAAGTTTTGGAATAATAAAACAAGTCGTTTTAGATATAAAAGTGTTTTTTTTGTGAAATAAAACGTTTATATTTATCTTCCGGTAAGCCAATTAACTAAATGCATTTTTGGTGTCAAATGGTGTTACAAACACTTACAAACACAACTTGTAACACCATATGACTATTATCAAAATACTCCACAAACTGTTTGAGGGAGAAATTATTGCAAGTAGGGCTAAATTGTTGTTAGAGAGAATAAATCCATCTTCTTTTTTTTGATTACACGTTTTGTTTTGGAAAAACAATAGGTGATGAAGCCCCCTTGTTTCCATATTCGTTGTTTTGTAGTTAAACCACACAGTGGGACAGGTGGTGAACAAAAGTAAAACAAACAAAAATTTAAAAGATTTTTTTATTATAATTAACATGATAATAATTATCATGCCTCACAGTGGAACGAAGTTGCTTCAAAACTTATCATTTGACGAAAATGAAAAAATGGCGTTATGAAACACTTTTTGGTGGTAATAAATAAAAGAATCTCTGGTCCATCTTATCCAAGTATTTATTTTTTAGGGTAGGCCTGATCTTTAACCCTGTAGAACTCATAATCTAGCTCAATTTTTTTGTTTAAAAAATAACTCGCGTGGGCGAGTTATTAGTACTACCAAGGACGTTTTGATAGACGGAGGTTTAAGTCATTGTTTAAAAGCGCTTGCAATTGTTATAAATAACAAATAACCAAACAATGGGAAACATTTGCGTCACGTGGAAATACTTTTATACGATTATACATCGTAATGATAACTGTCTCATCTATCCAATTAATTCCAACGACATTGTTATGTAAAGTATTGTAGTTGATATATTTACTATTTTGTTAAAAATTACTCAATATATTCAATCGCCCATGTATAACTCCTGTATAACATTATAACAAATAGTTTTTAAATAATACGATTATTTGAGAACTCTACTTGTAAAAAAAAATTCAAATACTGAAAAATATCAAAACGAAGTTGTGAGACAAAAACGATTTGATTTCTGTCAAAAAAGAGAAGTTTAAATCTTTAAGAGATTAGCGAAATCAAAATGTAGGGTGTAATGGTTGCCAACAATCTCTAGTTCAATCTAAAAATAATCTATGATGACCTACAACACGTAGAAAATTCTTTTTACTTATTATATATGATTTACTATAACAATATTCGTTATAGTAAATCATATATTGCATTTTTACCATAGTATTATTTTTGACGTCAAAGTTTTTTTTACAATGCTTATAAATCAATTAAAACATTTTTCACAACATCAGACATCCTTACTTACACAAAATGCATTTATATTACCTAAAAGTTAGTGTTTTACAAGTCATAAAATGTTTACTAAAAGAAGTTTGCAAAGCAAAAATGTCGGCTAAATGTCGGTTTATTTTGAAAAATTATCTCTAACTCTTGTTATAAATAATATACTTAAAAAATACAATACAATCCCAAATTATGCATGGAAGGAGAAAACTTTATTGAAATTTAATATTCGAACCTCTCTCAGTTCTTCAAAGATTACACTTTTATTTGAGAAGCAATAGAAAAACCAAACTCAAGCAACTTGCGAAAAAATAAATAATGCAGCCACTTTATTAATAGAAGAATGTTTTCAAATAAAAGAATTTTGCATCTAAGGTGGACAACAGAATTTAAATTATACAAAGACATTCTCCCAGTGGGCACGGACGTAAAAAAAAAATTCTTTTAAACGTCTTATACACGTTTTGGACGTCTTTTAAACGTTTTGGACATTTTTTAAACGTTCAAAAGACGTCTTTTTTTGGTCCGGTGCCCACTGGGTCTCTTTTCACTTTAAGGAATGGAAAAGTGTAACTATAACAGATCACATGAATCCATTTCATTTAATAAATTTAAGCTAGCTTGTAAAGATTTTCGTGAAACTGTAAAAGCAGCTCAAAACCTAAAAATCAATAAGTTTACCAAAAATATTGAATATCTTCGAAAAACTAATCCTCAAATGTTTTGGAGCAATATCCATAAAATTAAATCAAGTTCAAACACTCGTGTTTTTACGATAAATAAGAAAAAAGATAGAGAGGAAATTGTAGAATAATTTCGACAAAACTTTAATACAATTCTCAATACTCCCACAATCATTGACAATATATCCGAACACCACAACATTCCCCAACTTATATTTGAACCTAACAGAATACTCTTATCAACTTCCGCTATTGAATGTTGCATTCATAAGCTTAAGTCTATTAGATCACATGACTCTTATGGAATTACTGCAGAACATCTTAAATACTCTTCTAACAACAAATTCCTTAAAATGCTAATTATACTAAATAAATGCAAAAATCACAGAAAAAACTTCAGGATATGCTATGGGCAGATCATGAAACTTTTCATCGCAACTGAATCAGCCAATGTTCTTTAAAATAATCCCAAGTATTTGCCTGGTGTAAACGTTTCATTTTATAAAATCATTTTAAAAATAATTTATTTTATTAAATATTTATGTTTTATTTGTTATGTTGTAATGGGCTTCTTACTGAAATGTTGTTTTTGATGGGTTAAACTGAGGTGTTGGATATCTCAAAGAATGTATTAGGTGGCCTAATACATTCTTTGAGATATCTTTTTATTGTGCAATGTATTTTAGATGTTATGCTAATGGAATTTATAACTTATAAGTTTTATTTCGTTGGGAAAATTATGATACATACTTTAGATAATATATTACTTACCTTCTCCGTTTAGACAAAATAGCGTGTTTATTAATTTTGTTCACGAGAGTAAACTAAGAATTTTTCTCTAACAAAACAGATATGTATGTTACAATATATACATTCATCTTGCCACAATATATACCATTTAACTAACAATAACTAATTTATACTAATTTATTATAATTTATACCATAAATACTAATTTATAATATGTTTTTTAAGAGAAAATCGACATAAGAAAATAATATTGAGTTTTACAAAAAAAAAAAAGGTGTAAAATGTAATAACTAAAAATCTGGACAAAATTAGAAATTGTATAAATTTTTAACTGAATGATTAACTTTAAAGTATAATAACAAAAAATATCTAAATAATAAAATTTTAAAAAATTATAAGTTTTTCATATCATGACTACAAACGGTGTCTACTCTTGTAAATGTTGCGGGAGATTCCTTTTGTCGAAAATGCAATCTGACAAGTAATTTTAGCTTAAATTTATCTTTTCTTTTTAACTTTACATCATTTG